TCTCTCTCTCTCTCTCTCTCTCTCTCTCTCTCTCTCACTCAATGCGGCCATTACACTTCAGGGGTGTATGGATCGACACATGACATTGCTGACGCAGTTGTTGTTCGTATTCCACTTTGATGTATGTGGGGAAAAAAGGGTCATGGCTCTAAAGCCAAAATACGAGGATCTTTGCATGTCTTTAAAGGCCGTGGGAAAGAAGGACAAGGGGAGGAAGAAATGCAAGGCTGATAAGAAAAAAGAAAGGAGAGAGCATCGCAGAAGCGGATCCCAAAATGCAAAAACGGAGCGGACCAGCAGCCACAGAAACGGATCAAAAGTTTATTTCTCATCAAGTCAAAGGGGGATTTCAAAGCTGCGCAATGAGTCACCCTCTGCGACTCTTGCCCCACGGAACCGTGCCAGCGGCGTCGAGAACCGTCCACCCAAGGCCCCCGATAAGAGGTCGCGGGAAGACGGAATGTCAAAGGTGCACCGCAGGACAAAGAAAAGAATCACGTACAAAAATGACAGAATGGTGGAGATGATCGATCTGAGAGCCTCGGACGATATGCAGAGTGCGGCCCGAGAGGAAGCAGAAGAGGAACACGACCAGTCCATATCAGAAAAGTCTGACGGGGAGGAGAACGAGGCAACAAGTGACGAGGAAGGTGACAGTGAAACTTCCGACGGACATTCTCGCGACACTCACGACGTTGATGACGAGGACGGCAGGAGCAGCGACGGCACAGCGCAAGACGAGGGCGGTGACAGGGGAGGCGAAGACGACAGAAGTGCGGACGGAAGAGGGAGTTCCCCATCTCCGGAAAGAACGCGACGCACGAGGGAACCCGAAAGTGGAGGCGAGGGAGGCGCAACCGACGCGCCCTCCATTGACAGACAACTAGTGAGGCACGACAACGCAGTTAAAAAAGGTAAACAAAATGTGCTGCAGTTGGTCCTCTTGCACAATGATTACTTGGTAACGGCGCAAAGTGATGACATTTCGTTAATGCGAGGATGTCGCTGTGATGAACGAACAGTTGAAACGGGCTGTCGAATTTCGCAGGTGCGAAAATGGGTGCGAAATGCCGAGTTCTTAATATTATTTTGTGCGTTGTAATGTGTGTCTTCCAGCAGATGGCACGAACTCGCAAAGAAAAGTGTGCGCGAGCAGGGGAAGACAACAACAAGGCAATCAAGAAAGCGGCGTATTCTCGAAGAAAATGAAGGACATAGTGTTCCGGGCGGTCGCAAAAGCCTTTGGGTTCTCAGCAGCAAAGAACGCAACTATGTACCCAACAGAGGATGGATTTTTCACGGCGCTGCAAACAACGGCCAAACTGATAGGGGAGAATGCCGAGGAAGGACTGCGATCACACGTAGCGGAGTGCGGGATTCGAGCAGTCATAGGGGAGTGCAACAGAATGATGACAACCGTGCGTTGAGAGATAACATGGCAACTGAAACATTAGTTCTGGGTTGAAAAAGGGATCTTACTTGTACGATCGCAGCAAATAGATCACCAACTCCCTACTCACAACAAGATGCGAGCAGAGATGAAGGAGAACAAAACGTGAAGATGGAGCGGCAACGATCCTTGGGGCGCCCCAACCTTCAAGACGACACTCACCAAGGTTTTCCAAATGAGGAGGGGCGGCGTCAACCTTGGCATGACCCTACAGCAACTGGTTTTTGCAGAGATGGTTCTGCAATGTGAAATCGATCAGATAACAAAGACCAGCAGAGCGGCGGAGCAGATAGGGAAATTGGTCTTCATAAAGCAGGACATCGCATCATCTGTCTGCAACCGCTATACAGTCATGAGTTTTTCGGTCTTCAAGTTGGACCGTGCCGTATCTGTTGCTGAGAAGGCTGCTGCGCTATTTCGAGCCGGCGTGCCCTCTGTCCACAGGAGTGGGTCATATAACCCAACAATAACGGATGACGATTTCGACCTGGAGTTCATTGCACTGCTGCATGAGAGAAGCAAAGACGTGGAGAGGGATACAGAAAGTCTGTGCGCCAGACATTGAACACCGGGGGAGGGGGGAGAGGTGGTGAACATAATAGTGTGAATCAGAAGGTTCATTACGGAATATGTGAATCAGAAGGTTCATTACACAAGGTCACGGTCATTCCATGAGAGAGAGAGAGAGAGAGAGACAGAGAGAGAGGGCGGGGAGATGAAGACTCTGAACCATTACACTTGAATAGTCACTTTACAACATATAGTCTGTTATTTATGATACACAATTGTACAATCCCTTGTAATGCTCATCTTTGTGTGATTGGTCATAGAGCTACTATGTTATGAAAAAAACACCATCCGTGGTTGTCCTCAATGCAAGGTTGGCTAGTGCGTGCTACTCTCTCTCTCATGCCACCATGTTGCTAAATTTGTGTCACGCAGTAGTGAACCGTGCTTGTAGCAGGGCATCTCAGCATTTAATTGAGGCTCCCACACGCGTTTATCCATAGAATGACGTACAACAATCCTATAGACATGAAAAGGAAGGTTGGCTACTGCGTGCCACTCTCTCTCGCGGACTGCCATGTTGGTAAATTTGTGTCACGCAGTAGTGAACCGTGCTTGTAGCAGGGCA